TAGTGTATTTAAAGGTCAATTGTCTTCCAACTTTGATCAAACCTTAGATGATTGCAGACCTGCTTTACATCTTGACTGCAGTCTCATGGGAGACTACCTAGCTAAGCCGCTCCAGATTCCTGATCCACAGAAATTGTGAGGTACTAAGTGTTTGCTGCTTTAAATCACTGTGCTTTGGAGATAATTTGTTACATAGCAAGAGAAAACTAATACTAACAGGAAATAATTATGTTTGTTCTCTAATGTCTTTATCAACATTGAATATTCCTAATATTATATATTTCTACATGCAAAAGGGAGAAAATACTATCTAATTATTTTATAATTATTAATCTCAAGTGAAGCTGGACTTCTTTTATTTACTTAGCTCTTTTAATTTTTCTTGTGTATTTCCTTTTCACGCCCCTTGCCCATTTTTCTGTTGAAGTGTTTATTTTTTTCTATTGCTATATCAGGCTTATTATATGTTTTGATCCCTCTGTAATATTACTTTGTAATGATTTCCCTTATTTATCATATTTCCCTATTTACTTTTGCTCAAACTACTTTAGATTTAGAAGGTTTTTAAAAATTCTTATATACCCAATGAGGTCTTTTCCTTAATGTAGTCTGTCTTTGCATGCTTCTAAAAATATGTACTTACTACTCAGCTAGTTAGATGCTTTAATCCATGTTTTCTTCTATTCTCATGTTTAATTTAAATCTTTAATTTAGCTGAAACTGATGAATTGTATTCAGGAAATAATGTAATTTAATCTTTGCAAATGAGTAGAAGAATGAAGTAGAAAACACTCAGAACAAAAGAAAAAGCCTCATTCAAAGAAAATACATATATTTAAATTTCTTCATTATCATTATTATTATTGGCTACAAATTATCTATTGGTTTTAGGCCAGGATCTGTACCAAATGCTCAAAATGCTAGTATTAATTTCTCCATTTTGCAAGTGAAGAATGGGAAGCTTAGAAAGGTTAGATGATTTGCCTAATATCATATAGCCACATAAGTAGTGGAGACAAAGTTTGTTAATAGCAGTAATCCTGTCTTTCAAAAAAAATGACATAAGCTTCATTCATAATCCAGCTTCAAATAATTATAAGATTGTTCTTCATTCTATCCTTAACAAAATGGAAGTAGTGATACATATGGCTAAGTTTAGAGTTAATCAAAATTTCTAAACCTCTGAAAGAATGAAGTTTCTCATTAGTACATAATTTTCTCTTTGAATCTAGAATAACTGCAACAAAATTATTAGTGATTGTGTTTGAGCAGGAGTTTTTTAATTAATACCTGCTCCAAATTAATATTTGAAACATGAAAATGTGTATCATTGCTAGTTAGCCATATATGGTTAAGAAATTAGAAATTTTTAAATTGAGAGAAGAGATTAAAAGGACAGAAGATAAGTATATATTTAAGCTCCTACATTTGGGAAAAGAAAAGAAAAAAATATACTTAAACCTTGGTTCCATTCTTTGATGTCTGTTGGTAGGAAAAGCAAGGCACAAGACAGAATTACAACTCCCAGTAATGGGAGTCTACTGTATTCAGATGTGTCCCAATTAAGTTCTCAGGTGCAGGTCCAAGCCACACAGCTGAAGAGACATTTTGGCACATTATATTTTTACCAAGATGTACAAGCTTCATTCTTCCTGTGAGTTCTCTCCAACTACCTAGAATCTTACTCCACCTCAAAAATATGATGGTTATCAGAAATGTGATGAGGGATGGATAAGGGGAAAGTAGGAATGAATCTTTGAGTGAAATTCTATAGAGTTAATTTTTTAAATACCTTGACATTTTAAGATTGTGTCAAATTCCTTGCTTATGAGCAAAAGTTAAAGATTTAGAGTCATGATTAAGCTAGTGAATCGAGTCAGGATATTTGCCAGTACTATAATAAATAATTTTTTCAGGGAAAATGCTGTTATGATAAATTTTTACATTTAGTTGTTATCAAACTCTCTAAATTTCTAAAATGATGTAGGATGTCACAAAATGACAGCTCAGCCATGTATTTCTAAAATAGTAGAGAAAACTGCTTCCATGTTTATCAGACAGAGTTCAGTAAGGAGACAGAAACTACATAACAGTTTACTATATAGCAATTTAAGTTTACTATAAATGATAAGCATCAAGACAATGGAGTGACAAGTGATTGGAGTGGCTATTAAGAGTTAAAGAGAATACTCAAGAATATATAAATAGCAAATGTTATGAGAAGCTACTGCTGCTAGATCTGAGAAAAAAACACCCAAGAAAGAGGCCTGACCCAAGGCTGAGATCCAATTCACATCATAGAAGGCACATCCTTGACTCACTCAATGTCAAAGAAGTCGCTGAGGTGTCACACCAGTGGATTCACCATGTGAATGGCACATTCCATATGCCCATGGAATGCCAGTAAAAGTCATCTAATGGAAGGTGCATAGCTGCTAACATAACTCTACTAAAAAGCAACTTGCTATGGTCTGAATGTCTCTCCCAAAATCCTTATGCTGAAACTTAATCACCAGTGTGATAGTATTAAGAGATGGGACATTTAAAAGGTGATTACATTATGAGGTCAAAATCTTCATGGATGAGAATTACACTCTTATTAGAGGACTGAAGTGGGTTTGTTCTCTTCCATTCCAAATACCACATGAGGACAAAGCATTCTTGTCCTTTCCAGAAGATGTAGAAACAAGGTGCCATCTTGGAAGTAGAGAGCAGCCCTCAGCAGACACAGAGTCTGCTGGCATCCTGATCTTGGACTTAACTGTGAGAAATAAATTTATAAAGTTTATAAATTACCCATTACTGGTATTTTCTTATAGTAGAACAAACAGAATTAAAGTACCACCCAAATGAGTTATGCTTGGATAAAGTATTCATGGGAGTATGCCCCACTGGCAGCACTCTGCTGCAAAGTTGTCCCCAAGCAGGTAAAGGGTAGGATTGGAACTGAGAGGCAATAAATCAATAACTGACACACTATGTGTTATATGTTGAATTACATCTTAAAAAATGATAAGTTGAACACAGCCTGGAATCTGTGAATGTGACCTTATTTGGAAATAGCGTACAGTCATGTGATCCTTGACAAAGGTGCACAAAGCTTACTTTGGAGAAAAGATAGCCTTTTTAACAAATGGTTCTGGGACAACTGGATATTCCTACATAGAAGAATAAAACTCCCATCTATTTTATCCTGCACAAAATCAATAGATTGTGGATCAAAGACCTAGGAATTAGACCAGAAACACTGAACCTGTTAGAAGACATAGGATCAACTCTCCAACAAATTGACTTAAGGACCTACTTCCTTAATAAGACCCCTAAAGCTCAAGAAATAAAACTGAAAATCAACAAAAGGGAAGGCATATAATTAAAAGGTTTCTGAACAACAAACAAATAAGAATGTTTAAGAGAGCCTACAGAACAAAAGGAAATCTTCTTCAGGTACTCATCCAACAAGGGATTAATATCCAGAATATTCTGCTGTATGTATACACATGGATGTATAACCAATGTGATCCTGCAATCTGTACACATGGAAAAATGAGAATTCATACCCTATTTGAATCAAATGTATGATATGTCAAGATCATTGTATTGTCTTGAGCAACTAATAAAAGAAAAGAAAAAAATATCCAGAATATATAAAGAACTCAAAAATCCTAACATAAAAAACACAAATAACCCAATAAATAAATGGGCAAAAAGTTTTAAACAGATATTTCTCAAAAGAAGAAATAAAAATGGCTACAAATACATGAAAAAACATTCAATATCCTTAGCAGTCAGAGAAGTACAAATCAAAACTATAGTGAGATTTTATCTCACTCCAGTTACAATGGCAGTCATCAAACATACAAATAAGGGTCAGGCTCTGTGGCAAATACCTGTAATCCCAGCAGCTAGGCTGAGGCAGAAGGATCACAAGTTCAAGGCTAACTTCAGCAAAAGTGAGGCACTAAGCAACTCTGTGAGACCCTGTCTCTAAGTAAAATACAAAATAGGGCAGGGATGTGGCTCAGTGGTCAAGTGCCCCTGAATTCAACCCTCAGTACTACCCCACACCCTGCAAAAAAAAATACAAATAATAGCTGGGGTTATAGCTCACTGGTAGGGTGCTTGCATAGCATAGAGGGTGAGGCACTGGGTTTGAGCCTCAGGACCATATAAAAATAAATAAGTAATGTTATTGTGTCCATCTCTAACTAAAAACATTTTTTAAATACAAATAACAATAATTGCTGGTGAGGACATGGGGTAAAAGGTACACTTATACATTGTTGGTGCAAATGCAAATGGGTACAACCACTTTGGGAAGCAGTATGGATATTCCTCAAAAGACCAGGAAAGGAACTTCTATAAGATCAAGCTACCCCATTCCTTGATATTTATCCAAAATAACTAAAATCAACATATTATAATAATACATGTATACCAATATTTAGCCAAGTGATGGAACCAGTTTAGGTCTCCATCAAGAAATGAATGTACAAAGAAAATGTGGAGTTTTATTCAGCCATAAAGAAGAATGTGATTGTGTCATTTGCTAGTAAATGGATGAAAATGGAGAACATCATGGTAAATGGAATAAACTAGCCTTAGGAAGTGAAAGGTTTAATGTTTTCTCATTCTATTATATTGGGGAACATAATCTACCAAATCATGATATGTCCATGTATGAACATAATACAATGAATGCCACTTACATATATAATTAAAATATAATAACTAAAATAATAAAAATAACAATAATAATAATAATAGAAGAGAGATGGTAAAGTATAGTAAGTGTATTGGGGCAAAGAAGAAAAGGGAAGTACTGGGGAATAAGATTGACCAAATTATACCATGTGCATGAACAAATATGGCATAATGAATCCCACTATTATGTATAATTATAATTTACCAACAAAAAATAAAATTAAAAAAATAGTGCATATTATAGAAATATGGAAACAGAAAAGCTTTAGAATAAAAGTTGTGACATATAAAGTCTTTACCTTAGAATAAATACAGCCATCCGTTCCAAACACCCACTTCTGAGATTCATCTTCTTTATGTCTGTAATGAGAATGTAATTTAGAGATTGACACTCTTTTTCCACACAGGAACACTTGTAGGTTTCAAATAAAATTATCATTTCCATATTGCCTAGCAAGAGAACAGTCCACACTCTACTAATCTTCACTGCTATTTCAGCATCTAAAGCCACTCCATAAGACAACCAATTTCTCTGCTGTAGTGCAATGCTGTGGTATCCAAAAATGTGGTGTGTGTGTGTGTGTTTGTGTGTGTGCATGTGCACATGTATGTGTGTTACCAATAACAGTGATGAAAAGTTTTAGAGAATAAATATAATCAATAAGAATATTATAGGAAATTCTCCCCCTACCCTAAAGATCCTTTGTGAGACAAAAAGAGAAGAGCTTAATTAGGTATAAGATTTTAAAGTGGTATAGAAAAGGATACCATGAAAAATTAGGAACCTCAAGCATCTACTTCTGAAATGACTAGAGAATCTTATTAAGAAATATCATATTCCCTGAGCTAAACCTCAGTAAGGGAAAGAAATCTATAATGCGATGAAGTCAATCATGCTAAAATTAACTAATCATGTATTCATTAATATTTAGAAACTTTACAAAGGTAGGACAAAATGAATTAAATTAACTGTAACAGGATGTTAAACAAGACTTTTACTACTGCCTCTGAGTTTTGACAGAAACATCAAAGGTTGAGAATAAGCGGTGTCAGGTAATGTTCAATTCTAAAAGAAGATGCTATTTGATCTGGGCACAACATATAAAAGCAGCAATCCAAAACTGGTTCAGTGCCTATCATTCTTCACCCACATTCAGTCTACATAAGGGAATGTGAAGAGTTCATGGACATATTGAAATGGGTGCTTAATAACAATGTAGGTCTCCAGACCCCTACCTATCCTCAGAGGTTTGATTCTGAAGGTCTGGATACCCAAAAACATATGTTAACAGATGTTGCAAGTGATCCTCATTATGGAAGCTTGGGGGATTCATGTGGTCTGTGGATCAGACTAGAGAAACCACTGAACTAGAATGATAAAAGCAGCAAGAAAAGAAAGGTCCAGATATTTAAAGTTCAGAAATAATACATAGATCCTGGGGATATCCTGGCCTAGTACTCCTTTCATAGGTGAATAAGGTGAGATATGGAGAGGTACAATGAACTGGACAAGGCAGAGCAATAGGAATTATCCAAATAGGTACTAGAAGCCAGAGTGTCTGATTATCAGCACGCCACCATCTCAAATGGATTGGAAAAGTTTAACACAAGATTTTTGTGTTTAACTTGAAGATTGAAAATGGTATCAACATTTTAGTCTCACTGATTATAACTTGACGTATAATCTCAGAGACTTACTACACATTTATATGACCATAAATGTTTTAATACAATTGTGTAAAATTGTCACCACATAGTTTCATACTATAACAATTTCTCCAGAGGTACTGAGAATGTTAATATTTCAACCACTAAATGAAGAATAGCAAAAACAGTACCGCTGATCTTTTAAGGCTGTCAATCTCAAGCTTAGAACTATACTTTATTAAATAAATTAAAAGAGTGATTGTTATACATCTTTAATGAAAATGTGTTGGGTTGTAATAAAATTTAATCCTTGTAATGTGTAAGGGGTATAGCTCATTGCAACTTTATTTCCCACAGGCAGTCCCTCCTGTTGCATAAATTATCATTAGTATATTTGTTCAAGATCAAATGAAAAATGATAGATTTTTCAAGCTATAAGACATCCAAAATCCAAAAATTTTGTCTTTTAGTTGAATTATAGTGTTGGCTTAAAAATAAATTATATTGATTTCAATTTTGACTTTCTTTTTTTAAAAATTTTTTTAAAGAGAGAGAGAGACAGAGAGAGAGTTTTTTTAATATTTAGTTTTTCGTTTTCAGTGGATACAATATCTTTATTTTTTATTTTTATGTGGTGCTGAGGATCGAACCCAGTGCCCCGTGCATGCCAGGCGAGCGCGCTACCGCTTGAGCCATGTCCCCAGCCCCAACTTTCTAAATTTATACCATCTTTTCCCAATAATAATAAATACAACAGAAAAGATGTATACGAATAGACAATTGATGTGAGGGCAGAGACCAATGTGTATTCTCAGAGCCAATCACAGTGCCTAGCACATGAGATTAAGGACATCTTTAAATGTCAGAATGTTACTATCCTAAAAATTAATAATAAGGTCATTATGAAAAGTGTTTTAAAATACAGTTGGCTAGGGGACTTATGGTGCTAAAGAACATGTTACACCTTTTAAGAATGTAAGAAATAATTCTGGAAGAAATATAAGTTTCCAATTATTTGTCAAATTTTATCATAGCTTCAATTCTTTTCTAGCAAATATTTGCCCAGGAAATCTTTCTAAAAATATGCAGTTTTATATCATTGATTAGCCCTGTGAGCTTAATAGTAGTATTCCTTTGGGAATTTTATTTATATTAATGAACATTACCTTTGAATTTTACTGTTTTTTTTTTCAAATCTGTCCAGTAATGCCACATTAGGCAGGATGAGAAGTTATCATTCTAATCTATAATAACTTCCTTAAAAATAAAATTCCAACACACAAAACTACATCTGCTTATTTTTAAGATATTTTTATATGTTTAAAATCAAATTTTATTCAAGATACACTGATGATACTGATTTTAAAATAATGTCAGGGATTTTCTTTTTGGCCAATAAGTAGTGAGCTAGAAAGATTTTTTTTAATTAAAACAAAATTAAAAATAACAATAACAACATCAATAATGAGAAGAATAAAAAATGAAGGAGTAATATTCTACCCCCAAATCAGTTATAAATATCGTAACTGACATAAGCTGAACTAAGGTCAACAGACCTAAGTTCGAGCCCTGGATCTGGATCTGACATTAATTAGATATACCTTTAATAGTATATATAGAGACTAAGTGTAGTCTCTACTGGCCTTGGAATTTCTCATAATGATAATGAGTGATATCGATGATATTATCACCATCATCACCACCATTTTGTGTATGTATGTGTGTGTGGGGGGGTGTCTGGGGATTGAACCCAGGGGCACTCTACCAGTGAGCTATATCCCTAGTCTTTTTTTATTTTTTTGAGACAGGGTCTCAAAAAACGCCCAGGCTGGCCTTGAACTTGCAATCTACCTGCCTTAGTCTCTAGAGTAGCTGGAATTTCTGATGTATACCATCACATGTGGCTACTATTACTATTAAGGAGAGGTCTATAGTAGATGCTCTTCAGGGTCCTCTTTCTGAAAGCATATGATTTCGAAGACTATTTCATCTCATGCTGTCATTTTACATGTGAGGGTTTTGGTAAGCTTCCCTGTCCTGGGAAGCCATTTGAAGCTGTCTGGGAAAATGGGGAACTCTTTTTTTTTTTTTTTTTGTAGTGGCTATTGAACCCAGAGGTGCTTTACACTGAGCTACAGCCCCAGTTCTTTTCACTTTTTATTTGGAAAAGGGTCTCACTGAGTTGCTGAGGATCTTACTGAATTACTGAGTCTGTCCTCTTGCCTCAGCAGCCGCACTGGGATTACAGACATGCAACTGTACCCTGTTCTCAGTCCTTAAATTTAAGCAATATCAAGATAAAGTTGAGTTATTTATTATTTTAAAATAATTTTTATCATTGTTCTGGTTACTTGGTAATGACATTGGAGGCTTCCCTTCCTCCACTGATGGTCAGATACACAGAACAGAAAAAAAAATTTAAAGGGAAAATATGTGCACATACTTGCTATATTGAATAAGATGACTGACATCAAATGAGACATAACTGAACTAATGAGGCATGATATGTTTACAATACTTTTTGTGAGTTGTCAGGTTGCTACTTTAAGTGCTAGTTCTATTATTTTTTTGCATATAAAAGGCTATGTATTGATTCATAGCTTTTGTTAAAATCATTATACTACTTAGGAAAAGAGGAAAATTTTTTGTCTCTGGAAGCTGCTGTCACATAAGAATATTTATTGTTATTTATAGTGAAATATGGTCACCTTAAAAAATAAGTCAGATACTTTAGATCCTCTAGAAAAGATAAATGCATTTGAGAGTGTACAACCAAAAGTGAGACAAGCTTTAAAAATCTTGATCCTTACTGCTTTTTAAAGAAATGAAAAACAGCTTTATGATAAGATACTCTATATTTCCAAATGTTCTGCTACTTTACCTATACCCTGCAATAGATTTTGTTTCTCGGTTAAAGGCAATCTACATTAATACAAAAGCAAATAATCTTCATTTACATAGAGATTCTCCCCCCCCTTTACCTATTCCACCTCTCTCCAACCTTTACTTCTTCTTTTCTAGATTAAACAAAATCATTTATTGAAAATAGAAATTTTCAAACTTAATACATTTTTTTAAAAAAACTGTCATCTCTTTCTTGCCCAAGTTCTCTCTCCTATAAGCAACAATGACATTAAAATCTTGAAATTCAGGCCCACTCAGTTCTCTGACCATCCTGATCAGAGTGGGAAAGAGAGTTCAATAGGCTAAGACTAAGTCAGCTAAAGAAATGTTGCACAGCCGGGCACAGTGGCACCTGCCTGTAATCCCAGCAGCTCAACCGACTGAGGCTGGAGGATTGCGAGTTTGAAGCCAGCCTCAGCAACTTTTAAAATTTTTTTAAACGGCTGGGTTGTGCCTCAGTGGTTAAGTGCCCTTTGGTTCAATCCCTGGTACCAAAAGAAAAGAAAAGTAACATTGCACTACTTTTAATATGCATTATGTCTAGTGAGGACCCTGGGCATGATAAACATGTCCATCAAGCTATAATCTTCCTAGCACCTACCATTTTGACCTTGGCCATTGATCAATTCTCCCACTGAGAAAGGCTTTCTTTCAGCATCTTCCTCTAAAGCAACCACTCAGTCATTCCCTACTCATAATTTTCAGTTTTTGTTTCTTTCTTGGTTTGTTTCTTAGTCTTTTTATAACAGCTTTATTGGAAAATAATTGATGTAGAATTTGTCAGTTGTACAATTGAGATATATTTAAAG